TAACTCTACATTTGTCTATGACTCTTCTCAAAATTATATTGGTGACATCAGCATCTATACAAAGAAAAGATTTCACCTCCTCAGTAGTGTTCGCTCATTTCATTTCCTTTCTTCAAATTATGTTGCTAACTACAGCATCTATACAATGAAGAAATTTGAATGCCTGTATAACTCCGGATTTGTTCATGACTATTCTGAAAATTATATTGGTGGCAACAGCATCTATACAAAGATAATATTTCACCTTCCCATTAATGTTCGATCTGTTTATGACCTTTCTTCAAATTATGTTGCTAACTACAGCATCTATACTATGAAGAGATCTAAATACCCGTAAAACTTTGGATTTGTCCATGACTCAAAATTATATTGGTGACATTAACTATACAAAGAAAAGGTTTCACCTATCCAGTAATGTTCGATCAGTTCATGACCTTTCATCAAATTATGTTGCTAACTACCATGAAGAGATTTGAATACATGTATAAATCTGGATTTGTCCATGACTCGTCACAAAATTATATTAATGGCAACAATATCTATACAAGGAAAAGGTTCCACCTCCCCATTAATGTTAGATCTATTTATGACCTTTCTTCAAATTATGTTGCTAACTACAGCATCTATACAATGGCGAGATCTAAATGCCCGTATAATTCTGGATTTGTCCATAACTCAAAATTATATTGGTGACATCATCTATACAAAGAAAAGATTTCACCTATCCAGTAATGTTTAATTAGTTCATGACCTTTCTTTAAGTTATGTTGCTAACTACAATGAAATGATTTGAATGCCTATATAAATCTGGATTTGTCCATGACTCTTCACAAAATTATATTAATAGCAACAATATCTATACAAGGAAAAGGTTCCACCTACCTAGTAATATTGGATCTATTTATGACCTTTCTTCAAATTATGTTGCTAACTACAGCATCAATACAATGAAGAGATTTGAATGCATGTATAATTCTGGATTTGTTCATGACTCTTCTCAAAATTATATTGGTGGCATCAGCATTATAAGGAAAAGGTTCCCCCTCCCTAGTAATGTTCGATCAGTTCATGAGCTTTCTTCAAATTATGTTGCTAACTACAGCATCTATACAATGAAGAGATTTGAATGACCGTATAAATCAGGATTTGTCCATGACTTCACAAAATTATATTGATAGCAACAACATCTATACAAAGAAAAGATTTCACCTTCCCAGTAATGTTCGATGAGTTCATAAGCTTTCTTCAAATTATGTTGCTAACTACAGCATCTATACAATGAAGAGATTTGAATGCCCGTATAAATCTGGATTTGTCCATGACTCTTTACGAAATTATATTGGTAGCAACAACATCTATAAAAGGAAAAGGTTCCACCTACCTAGTAATGTTCAATCTGTTTATGACCTTTCTTCAAATTATGTTGCTAACTACAGCATGCATACAATGAAGAAATTTGAACGTCCGAATAATTTTGGATGCGGTAATGGTTCTTCTGAATGTTATCTTCATCTTTAAATGCCATTCTTCAAAACGTGGCTGATCACAGCTCTCCACCACTTCCGCTGCGTTGGTGTTCTAAGTAATCTTTGACTTTTTACTATGAATCTTTTTCCCCGCTCTGTCATCCATCCGTTTTTATGTGTCAAGTAGAAACAGGACGTAGGCAATCCAGTAATTCATGTCTCTCGTTACACTAAGAA